TAATATAACATTTTATAAAGATAATAATTAAATATTCTGTCAAAACTTAATGATTATCCTAATTATATTTTCGATTTTTTATATTTAAAATGAGATGTTTATCCTGTATGTGATTGTGTTTATCTGCAGTTAGTTACACGAATTCATATATGGAGCCTTAATAAGTTGTACCTACACACGATTTACTTGTAATCTTGAGTTTTAAGTAATATGCATTAATGAACAGTACTTTACGCATAAAAAGTGGTTTTTAAGAGTTTTTAAGAGTTTTAGTCAAATGTTTTATAAGATAGTATAAATATAGATACATATTATGTTAAAATACAACTTAATTAACCACATTTAGTTATGGTTGGTAGGGGTGAGGTTATGACTACGTCATCACATAAACAAAAGCTACATCTTCTACACGAAGGAAAGCACCAAACTTAGGCTCCTCATTTTATCTCTTAAAAAGAATTAAATGTGATTCCACTTAAACATTTGGTGCTCGTTATCAGACGCTTACTCGATAAGTATATTTATTGGGTCACTTGTTTTATCTGATACACATCGTAAAGATTATAAATTTTATCTGATAAGAACTATGACAATGATCAAGAGTCTTACCCGATAAGCAAAAAATGACGACTCTAACCATGGTCGTCTTTTAACGTGTTAAATTTGGGATTTTGAACGAATTCTGAGGGCCCCAATTTTACTTTGGGCTTTATGTAAAACCCTATCTACGCTCAAATCGCTAATTGGGCAAATTATTAGGTTTAGATTGTTAGTAGTTTAGGTTTAGGTTAAGATTGTCATTTAACTTTTCTTTATGTGCTTTAACATATATGTATATATGATATCTCATTCCTCAGTGTAATTAAAAGTTCTGTTGTAATCCTTGACTCTTACCCGATTAGCGTTTACCGGATAGATTGTTGCATACGATGCTGTTACGATGGACTAGAATCTTACTCAGTTATGTAACTGAAAATGTAATGTTATACTCTTAAAATAATACATTTCCAATTATTTTGATGAAAAAAGAAGTTGATTATCGATAACAGAACTGGTTCCACACGAAACCCATTTTCAAGGACACCAATATGATGAAACATTTTTTGACTCACTTAACGACTGAGGTTAAAAAAACAGATTACCAACTGAGTTACACGTCAGAAGACGATATTATCAGAAGACGATATTATTGAAAAGGATTTTGGATTCGGAATAGAAAAGTAATAGAAAGAGTTCTTTGTTGGATTGATGCCCCTTTTATGTCATACATCCATTATTTGATTTTATTATTTAAAAAGCAAAATCCATTTAACATAAAAAAAAAAGGATTATCAAAAGTCAAATCATGGAAGACAATTAAAAGCATAAATAGTTTAAATAAATAAGGGGTTGTTTATCAAACGCTTATCAGATGAATATGATGAAGATCAAGAATCTTACCCGGTAAAGGTGAAGGCAGGACCGAGAGTCTTACCAAATAAGTAAGGACGACAACTCTTATCACGGTTAGTGCTTACCGGGTAAATTGTTGCATATGATGTCGTATTGGTGGACTAAAATCTTACTCGATAAGTAAGTGATGGTGTTAGATTTTACCGGATAAGTGTTTAGTAAACGGCTCCTAAGTTTGTTAAATAATTAAATATTATGATAACAAATTGTGTGTTATCAAAAGGTTTTTCATCTACCGGTATTCAGTAATTCAATATTTTATAAGAGGTCGTTTACCAAATACTTATTCGGGTAAGTGTTTATCAAGTCATATTCTCTTACCGGATGAATATGGCAAGGACCAAGAATCTTACCGGGTAAGAACGAAGGTAAGAACCGAGAGTCTTACCCGATGAGTGATGGCGACGACTCTTACCACGGTTAACGCTTACCGGGTAAATTGTTACATACGATGTCGTTTTGGTAGACTAAAATCTTACCCGGTAAGTAAACGATAGAGTTGAATTTTACTAAAATCTTACCCAGTTTAGGTAAACAACCCCTAAATCAAATATTATAATCTTATCGAAGGTGTTCAATATCTGAGGTTCATTAACTGTATATAAATATTTATATAATTTAAAAAATTTAATATCTGTTATTTAGATAAGTCGGTTTGGTTTACCTTGTTAAAAAAACAAAACTTATAGAAGGTTGTGCTCAGTCTGGAATACAATCATGAAGTTGAAAGTACAAGAAATTCCATGATTGAATAAATTTTTCTCTATCTGTTGCGGGTCGAGGGATCCTTCCCCTAAGTTAAACGGGTGCTTGTTGTTGCACCAGGTGCTAAAGCGAATCAAACCTGCATCGTTAGCTTGGAAGGCTACGAGTTATAGGCGGGATTGGAAGACCAAGCAGCTCTAGCTAGAACATAGACTACACCGAGATGGTAAGAGCCATCGGTAGAAAATTAAGTGTTCTAAAAGGCCTGTTGGGACAACATTGGTTAAGGTTCATGTCTCGTGTCACCTTGAGCGTGTGGTGCGTCATGGCCAAATTCGTGATTTTTGTACTGTGTTTATTTTTCTTACTTTTTAGCATCTAATCTTTTAACTTTTAGTATAAAACTTATGTATATTTACATTGTAATTATAAACATTTGATATAGCCTTAAAAACCATTTTGTAGTATATTACTTAAAATTCAAGATTATAAGCAAATAGTTCATGATAAATATAATCCATCAATTTTCAAGATGAATGATTGTGATTAATTCACAAAGTTAACCTATATATTCGGTTAACAAAAGAACAAACCCTTATATATATATATATATATATATATATATATATATAGTCATGTTCATACGAAAACCTAACAAAATATAGAGCACGAAAACGCTTAAATCACATTTTTTACACTAAAATCACGTGTAAAAAATCATACATAATTCACACTATTTCATCGCAGGCAGATCACCGGCTCACCCTTGCATTGTCTTTGTTACACAATCACATACCATTTGGCCGTTTTCTTGTCATCTTATTTTGATTATGTTCTCGTTTGATCCTCCTTCTATATACATAATTATATATATATATATATATATATATATATTCCCGTAAATCACACTCGTAAAAAACGTCATGGACTCCCTGTGACTTCTAAGATTTAAAGTTTGACCTCTCCGTCATGTCACGTCTCACGTCATTTAAAACCTTAAGAAAATGAATTTTTTTTATTATTCTTTAAATTTTATTAAAAAATATTAATAATTTAAAACCAAAAAGAAGGTTCTATGAAAAGGGGTTGCTTATATGCCCACAAAACTTAAGGGGTAAGTACCATATGACAGAGAGAGAGAGAGATGTTCCAAATTGACCACAAAAACCATTTCTTTAAAAAAATCTTGATTCTATAATCTTTGAATTCATTCATTTCTATATAAAGGTGTCACCTTATGTTCCCTACGTACTTTCACTCAAGACTCCATTTTCAATTCTTGTTACAACCCTATCATCTCTACCTTGCAAGTGTTATCGTATGTCGATCGAAGACAACAAGCGTGCAGAAAACCCTAAAAACGGCGTTAAAGAAAAGCTCAGTTTCGTTAGAGATGGATCCATCAAACTCCCACCAGGGTTTCGGTTCCAACCCACGGATCAAGAGATTGTGTTCCAGTATCTGGTTCGTAAAGTCTTCTCGTGCCCATTGCCTGCTTCCATCATTCCCGAGATCGTCAACATTTGCAAATTCAATCCTTGGGACTTCCCAGGTCAGGAATGATCATATGAAACCCTAGCTAGAAAAAACCCTAATTTTGAATCGTCACGTTTAATTATTAGTGTTCTAATAATTTACTCTCTCCACGACAAAACAATTGCGCTTCTTGATAGAATGTTTTTGAGCGTGCTAACAAGTTTTTATGAATACTTTTTAAACAAATTGTCCTATCAGTATTTTTATATGACGTTATTTGAAATAGGATCTCATAGAAACAAGCACACTATAAAAATACGTGTTTATAGGACACTTCTCAAAAGTATCTTATTAAAAAAGCTAATATGACACTTTATTTCAAAAAGACCTGTAAAACTGTTGAAAAGCCAAAAAAACGTCTTATCAAATTATTGTAACCTTTTTTTTACATAATAATTGTTTGTTTCTATAAACTTAAGTCTTATTATATAGAAAAGTAACTTATTATATGACATTTAAATACATTTAACGTCTTATAAAACCAGTCTCGTTGTAACATGCCCCAGAAAAACCCTAATTGGTTGTTTTATTAATTTCTTTCTATAATTAATCAAGAAATTCGTACTGAAAAACTGGGTATTTTCGACGGAATTTCTACTGTTGCTTAATGATTTTGATTTGAAATATGTAAATAGGAGAATGGGAGCAAGAAAGATACTTCTTCAGCAAGAAAGAGGCCAAATATGGCCATGGAAATAGGGTTAACAGAAGGAGTAGTGATGGATATTGGAAAGCAACTGGTTTTGATAAGCATATAACCAGATGTTGCGGTAACAATTCGAGCTCGAGAAAGAAAGACACGATTACGGGGATGAAGAAGACGCTCGTGTTCTATAAAACCAACCCTTCGACGACTAGAACTCATTGGATCATGCACGAATATCGCCTCGTTCATTCGCCTCCGTCACCGACAACAACCTCCAACGATAAGGTAACAATCTTGAACTGAATCCGTATGCATGTAAAAAGAGTCTTGACCGTTGCAACATCGGTTTTATACGATATCAAATATGTCTAAATGTTTTAATGTATACTTTTTATATAACTTAAGTTTATAGGACAAAAACTTGTTAGGTTGCACAAATACGTCTTAACATTCTATTGTACCACTTTTATATATGACGTACGATTGTTTGTTCATATAAACTTAAGTCTTATAAAACAGTTTATTAAAACATTTAGAAACCGCAAAAAAAATGAAAAACTAAGGAACATCCTAATAACCATTCATTTATACGGTATGTACATGTGCATACAAGTAATTTGTCATATATGAATGTGTGCATAACATGTACATGCGTATAGAAATGAAGAAACATCTTCATTTACTTCTATTCACATATGAATACCCGTCTTAAATTAATGA